AAAAAAAAGAGACAGCATTTCACCAGGGGCTGGATATTAATTTATGAACATTAAGTAAATAATTGCCTATCAGGTAGTGGCTCCTGGGCTCTAGAGCACATGGCTGCCAATATGTAAGCAGGACTTACTGGGGAGGCGCAAATCAGAGGCCAGGAAAATATTCTGCACAGTCTGTAACTCCTGCAGAGCTGTGCAGGATTCATGCAGGGCCAATATGGGGATCTGTACTGTGCTCCCAGTCTGAAGGATTTAGGGAGCACAGCACAAAGGCACGGGGGTAACCATCATCACYAAGAGCCTGTGCAAACTCGGTGCAGCAACATCTTCATTTCTGTTTCTATCTGCCCTTTATTTTTGTCTCTTTTTTCAATCTATTTCACCCCCAAGACCCACTAGAGGCTTCCTGATTGCCTTCCAGTGGCTAGCCAAATTCTCCATTCCCCTTTGTATCCCCTTCATCTTTCCTTGCCTATCTTAAGCAAACCCTCACATCTTCTCTAAACTTTATTCTCTACTGCTCTGCTCTTTGCCTGATCTATTTTTCCATTTCTCATTCAGATGGATGCCATATTCTAGTTGCGTTTGTCCAGAATTCTCTTCTATTCATTGTTCTTGCTGTAATTTCCCCTCCTATAGCAAAGGACTCTTTTTCAAAGAAAACTGATCMTGTTTCCTGGCGAATGTACCTCCCTCTGCCCTCCCATCAATCTTCTCTGTACCAACAGTTATGATTCAGCTGGCAAGCAGCACTCACTCCTAGCAGCCCATTCCTCTCCTCAAATACATGCTCAAGGGAGGAGGGTCCTGCTGGCATTGCGGTGCCAGCAGAGAAGCTGCTGTGACAACCTCTCTTTTTCTGAGCAGCCACTGTGGCTGTCCCATCCCAGAACAACACTCTTACTTTCCCAAAACATAGCRAACATTTTATTTTGTTGGCCAAGCAGCAAAGCTGAATCTTTCTCATGCTCATGGCTTATAACTCTTCATGTGGCAGGTYGTGATGGTGAAGGCATCTGCCATGTTTTGCCCTCTGGGAAGCAACTGAATTTCATCTGCTGTGTGACAGAGTGCTGCTCAACAAGGCAGCAGATCTCAGAGTTGCTGTCCTGGCCATTTTCYGGGAGGATGATGTATTGCCTTGCCACCTCTAGCCTGCACAATGAACTCTGTGAGCATGCCCCCTGTATGGTTTATCCTGCAGGACACTCAAGTGTTTGCAGCTGATAGAGATGCAGGATAGCATCAGCGATCTTTCAAGTGCTGAGTTGGGATTTTGTCTGCGCTGCTGCTTTCACACAAAAAGAAGTGATAAATAACAGCCCTTTATGTGCTTCTGCCTGGGGATTCATGGGTGAATCTTCCCCTCTTGTCTGTGGCACTA